CATCCCTCCGTTTCCAATTTCACCGGCTCCAAATCGTATGAGATGCCTAGTTCATTGTCACTCTCACTTTCCGACTTGATCTGTATGTTTGCCATTGATGTATTAGATTCGTACATGGTCGATGGCATCGAATTCAGTTGTACGACGTCGTCATCTGGTTCCTCTTTGATATCGCCTCCTTGTTTCACATTGACAATAGAGACATCCCCGTTGCGTTTGACTTTGCCATCCGATGTACCCTCACCTGGATCCAAACTCATGGCGATCTATCCAAACAAAGAGAAAAATACCAAAATGGTATTACAGTCTAATTCAGGGAATAAATGTAACACGCTGCAAATATTGTTTTCAAAAATATGTTGAATTGATGATAAGTTGACTATTTCTTGCTTGTTCGTATTTTCAAAACCGAAAATTCTTCATATTTATCCATAGAAAACTTAAAGAAATAATTTGGTCCCAAAATGTGAAAAACCTTAACCTCAAAATGGTAAGAGTGTCATAGAATAGACTTACCTTTTTCTTTGTTTGAATTTTGAATGGTATTCTTCTCTTTCTATGATAAAATTAACTTTTTCGCGTGTTGAATGGAAATCAAATCAGATTTTCCGACGGTTATTCGGTTTTCCAACTAGAAACTTCGTTGTAGTTACCTTCGCATGTGTTACAGTTTCAATGTATACAACTAGAATGAGTAAATATGATACGATTGTGTGCAAATGATTAAGCTGTCATTTGATTCAAAAGTGATGGAATCATTTCAAGAAGATGGCGTTGGATTAATTCTGACATGTAGTGCATGTTTATTTCTCATATTTAAATATTTGTAAGAAAGCAGTTAAATTCTCAATTATATTCAATTATTTTTCGTTTTTATTCGTTTTACAAAATATTTTTTTTTGGTGAAAAACTTCATTTACTCTCAAAATACTAAAAATCCATGGAAACGTTCGGATCTAACATTTATAATTTATTTATTCGCTAACATTTATTAATTTTTTCAAGAAAAATTATCAAAATTACATTTTCGGTAGAAAAATCTCGGCCATGCAACAGCGTGCACTACCACCTCCGCTTTTTTCGATCGCCTGAAGATTTGAGTAAATAATTTCCGTATAATTTTCAATTGTTTGAATTTGTTTTGACGTCAAACATTGATAGGCGCATTCACTCATCACCAAAAATTGTTTGCCTTCGTCATTCTTCACTTCAAGCATATTGCCGGCAAAGCAATTTACTTGGCCTTCGCTTATCTCGATAATTTCTCTGTGAGAGTCCGTAAGTGTTTTTTCTACCAATTCTCTTTCTAATTTGCTATCAATTGAATCCAAACAGATAACCGCAAAACCGCTTGCCACACACATAATAACATTGGTATGATAAATGGGCAGTCTTTGTCCATTGATACTTTGAAACGAGTGAAATACAATCGGCTGATAACCGAATTGCGAACACCATTTCATGAAAATTTCTTCACTCAAACGTAATGAGATGGCACCGTACGCGATTCTATTCACACGGTCCAGAATCATCGAACCGGTTCCTTCCAAAAATTTATTTTCCGACTCGAAAATGGAGTAGTCTTTTATGGCGGATATATGAAAACCTTCTTCGGTTAACCGCTCCAATATATCCATTCTTCGCTCTAGTCTTCGATTTTCGGCAAACATTGGGTACAAAATTATGGTCCCATCTTCATGAAAACTCACCCAATTGTTCGGAAAAATCGAATCCGGAGTATGAGGCACCAAAGTATCTTTCACAGTGATTACATTGACTCCTTTGGCTTTAAGCTTTTTTACGAACGCTGTAAATTCCTGTAAGGCTTTGGTTTGAGTTTCTGCCGATTCATCATTCACTTGAAAGTAGTTATTCACCGCCGTTTGAACATTAAATCTGAATGCAATGGGTTCTATCATTAAAATAGAATTTGTTGATTGCGACATATTTGAAATTAAACGGGAAACATCGATTTTATTCATGAAAAATAAACTGTGCTTTTGTGTGGATCGTACTATTCGTTATTAACAACTCGAATCTGAGGAGAAATGATTGAAAAATTGTTTTATTGCCAAATTGAAAGAATCTGTAATCTTTAGCAAAAATTTTGTACTTAATGAATGAACGAACTATTTTATTGAAGATTATAATATATACTGAAGGTATGCTAAAGATTTATTTATATATATACTTTTTGAATTTGTACACAATGTAGTTCAATCAATTCACTCAATCTAATTTGAATGTATTATGATCAGTTCAGTTTCACAGTAAACAGTATGCATTGACAATAAGTCACAAACTGATTATAAATGATATTGAGAGCGTCTAATTAAACAAAAAAAATCTTATCAACGCTTACCTAGGCGTGTCCTTGAACTTAATATCAGTTTCTAATTCATTGTTGTTGATAGCCGTCGACTCAACTTTCAGCGTTTCGTACGTTTCTTCGTTAATTTTGTGTTAATAATCACCTTCAAGATTCAGCTGTGATAGCCTCTCTCTCATTTTCAACTACTAATAAAAACGTAGATGAACGGCAAGTCTGTTAACATCATTTGACTAAAAACAACATTATAGCATCGGGTCCATCGGTTGAATCTTGAATAAGTTATTCAGATTAACTAATCAAATTTTCATTATTTGTATAATCAAATGTGATGCATTTTATTGAATACTTTTATGAACGCGTCATCATGTTGATTGAGAGGCGCATGTATGACTAGGGTGACTCAAAAATTAGAATGTTTTTTATTCATGAAAATGTCGATGTTTAGTATAGATTTTTTCAAGTTTTTGTCCAAAAAGCACAACATTTGTATGGAAAGTATATCGAAAATACATTTTATCTCAAGACTTATATTTGATTTTCGTGTGCCAAAAAATCCAGCCACTGAGTGCTTACAGAGTTGTGATAGAAAATAGAACAATTTCAAAAATCACTCAAATGAATCTTTTGTGTAAGCTTAAAAGTGGCCTTGCAAAGTTTGGGTGACACAATTGGACAAAATATGACTCGAAAATGACAAAACCGAACCTGAAAACTTGAAAAATAAAAAAAAAATCTATTTTTGGAGCCACCCTAGAGTATGACTCGGAAACTTATCTATATTTGTATAAAATAAAAAATAATCTTTGATAATTTATGACTATTTGAATTTTTGGTAGTTGTTATTGTTGTCAAATTGCCACAGATAAACATTTTTTTTGGAATTGAATTGTTTATTTATTGGGTCACATGTATTCTTCCAAATGATATTATGTGAATTCGTAAACTTATTTCTATAAAATTGGGTTCGATTTGGGTAAAATGAAAGTAATTCAAATTTGTCCATTAATAATACAAAAGATTCCAAATTTGATTAGGTTTCCAATTAAGACATTATCATTGACATCGTTGTTCATGCCCAAGGATACAATGCTAATTTGGCTTTCAAAACATTTGATTATACGTAACGTAATTTGTGAACCAATCTATGCATTACAAATGACTTTAAAATAGAATAATTGTCATTCTGGTTCTTTCGATGACACAAATTATTAAATTCAAACTTTTGGTATCACTAAAATCACTAAAAAGCAAAAAAACGCCGCCCGTATAATCTAAAGTAAAAAATACGAAAAAAATAGTTGGAGAACGAGATAAAGAAATGAAAAAGAGAAATAGAATTACCCTTTTAAGAAATTCTCGAGTGCAATGTGTGTTCCTGAATCCTTGAATGTAAACTGGTTTTTGGGCAACTATCTGTATCGATTGCAGCATTTTCTGTCGTTTCAATGGCAATTCATACCAAGGACATTCGTAGATCGTATCAGAAATCTCTCCAAAACTTGAAGTTACCTCATCGCCAAAGGAACATATTACTACCATATACATCACCGAAAATGAAAGCGCGCAAATCGAATGCATTGCATTTGAGAGAATTGACGTTTGGAATGCCTATTAAATTCAAATATTCTTCAGCAATATTTCCAACTTTATGAATTCTTTTAAATCAAAAACAAAAACTCAGTCCGAGAATGGAGTCACAAAGGAATGTTGATGACATAGTGAAATAGGTCATAACTATAGCACCAAACGCAATGAGAAATCGATCTGAGAGCCTGAAACAAAAAATAAATTATTATCAATCATAGCGCAATTTTGCAGTGAAATTTGAACTACTTTATGCCATCCGCATGTAGTTGTGTGACGACATTTAATTCACCATGTTGACGTGAACTAATTAAACATGCTTTGATATCCGAAGCAATTGTTTCGAATAAAGTACAGAATCCAGCGAATAGTTGAATAAAATTGATTGCCAATAAAGTGAGAGTCTTGCTCCATAAATATTGTACACAAATTGCCGTTAAATATCCAAACGGATAATTTCTCCAATTCCATGGAAAACTAATGAAATTACCGTTAATTATAATTATATGTGTTTGCAAAATGGTTGGAGTTTTGAAACCAATTTACCTTGACACGTAAAACAGTTTTAATGAATCGGTCGGATTATTTGTTGTGTAATATTTGTAGAGGGATAAAATGGCAGTTGGTAGCGAATAGAGATGATCACATACAAAGAAACTATACCAAAATATTTTCGCCAATTTTTCTATTTTTCCAAGGTTTTCCACATAAATTGAGTGAACAATTGAGTGCTGATACCCTGCAGAATGTAAAATGTACATTTTATAATCAGTTATAAATCATATTATGAGCGGAAATGTGAGAGAAAATGGAGAAGAAATATTTTGGACATTGTGTAAGTGATTTGTTGATACCAGAGGTTGCAACGGGATCCCAAATCAAACGCCCGGGCGATCATGGCCCGAGCTCGACCCGGAAAGGATTCTGGGTCAGGAGGCATTCGGGTATTTTTTTGGTTACAGTCGGACTCGGGTTCCGGCAAGAACGGACCTCGATCTGATTTTTCCATCCACTTGCGACTTTCGGTTGATACCAAACAAATTTTTCCATTAAAAAAAAAATCAAATTTATTGCTCTTCACTATACGCCATGATTTTTTTTTTTGAAATTTCCACGCACCCATGAGTTTTCGGAAAATTTTGAAATTAAACATCTGGATTGCCTGAAGCTATACCATATTTTCACGTCTCAAAGTTTTCTTCTCTTTTCCCGATTTCCGCAGAATTGAAATATTTTATCCTTAAAATCTAAACAAAATCAGTTTTACTTGTTGTAATTAGTTTTTCCATATCACCAATAAAGTTCTTTAGTTCCGTTCTCTTCCAAAGTAGAATTGTGTACAATATAATGATGAATAAAACGTAGCACACCAAAACTAAGCACTCAAGATATTCAGTGAAAGTCGTAGCATATAATAGCGAATATAACAAGCTGCTATATAACGAAATCATGATTACAAACACAAAGCAGACGTGAATACAATTAATCGATGATTTATATTTTCGAAGACTGAATGGCAACATATGTTCAGGCACTGCTATTGCACCCGAAATCACTAGCTTTTCTTTCGCGGTCGCTAAAATGTTCATTTTAATTTTTCGAAAAATTCGAACTTTTCAGATTCACTAAAATCACAACGCTTAGGTATAATTTTTTCAAAATATTTGTTGATGCATATTTACAATAAACACGATCTGCATAGCATCAAATACTTTTGTAAACTATTTTATTTGTCGAATGAATTCCTCTTCGTTGATGTCAGTACACATGCATAAAATAAACGCCAAATGAATAATGTATATTTGAGGGATAATTCGTTATTTTAAACCATGTAAATGCCTATGTAATTTACATATAAACGAGTGAGACTCAAACATGTGCTTCTTCTTCAAAACAATACAAACACACTAACTCACAAACATCAAAAGTATACGCCATAACAGCAGTGCAAACACAAATACATGCGCAGTGCGCACGCTACTCAGCTTTGTTTCTGTGATGAATACTTATTGACTTCTGCTGTACATGTGATGCTTGTGTATGTATTGTTTTGAAGAAGAAGCACATGTTTGAGTCTCACTCATCTCCGCCCCTTGATTTAAAGGGATTATTCCTCATTTCATATTTATTGGTAAGTAATATTGTTGGAAGGTCTGAATGTAATGAAACTCACAATTTAATATTAGTGGCAAGCTACTTCACATTTTAATATCGAAAGCTTTTTTTATTATTACAAAAAATCAGTAAAACTCAACGATTCATTCCTTGTGTTTTTATTTAAATCAAGTCCAAAAGAGATATCAGATCGGAATAGCTTTAATCTATAATCGAAAAAGAGACACAATTCAACTTATTCGTGTTTAAAGTAATAGATATTGTCGCGGCAATTAACACTAATTATATATATATATATAAATTTAACTAGGTATATTGTACACATGATCATTTTTTGAGATTATTTTTATGATGAAGTATTATTTTGAAGAAAGCAGGAGCTAGATTTAATTATACCAGTTACATACTCTGAAAATTGCTTAAAATGTCCATAATCCATCTGAGTCCGCTTAATTTCCGTGTTCTATTTGATGAGTGTACATGCCGACATACAATTACATTTATTACGAAACATTTCGCCCTTTTGGTTAGTAAAAAGGTGCCTTTGGGTCAATTTTATACAGTTTGTTCGTAATCCACCACATATACGTGTGTTTTTATCCCCTGTGAAGTGAAACAATTCTATTTTCAAATCAAATCGAACATAACAAGTGCACATCGAAACATACTTGGCATCGAAAAATTTACGCATCAAACAATCCTCTTCACAGTTGATTTGCGAATAAATTCTGAAGAAAGCCAATTGGCGCTCCGATTGATAGAAACATTTTCGTTGATCAGACATGTAGCGCCGAATGTTGTGTGACGTTGTTGTCAATTCGGGTTTTATATGAATATAGGTCATTTCCGAATGTTGTAGTTGAATGTAGTTGTGTGAAACCTTCACCCCATCACCAGGTGTGGTTAAAATTACTTTTACTTCTCCGAAAAATTGGCTGAATTTATCGTCGATGTCGTTTTTATTAATTTTAAAGTACAATAAAAGCTTATCATTTGATTTGCGAAATGGATATTCTCCTCCACTAAACGTTTTTGTATATCCGGTATCCAAGGTCTATTGCGACACATTGGGATTGTATTTAATGAACATCATTTCTGAAGCTACTTCAATCAAAACAGTTAAGAAATATAAATAATTTCATTCCGCAATTTTAAGAATAAAAAAATGGTTGATCAAACATTGTACTGAGATATTTGGAGTCAGCAAATATGGTTCTGTTGATTACGAAGTGTCAAAAATATGTCAGTACTTTGTCCGATTTAG